TGCCGATGATCTATACATATTCGCCAAGGTCAAAAATGAGTTACACTTCAATAACCAATTACAAAACTTGGTTAACAACATTTTTAATTAGTGTCAAACCACCGGTACAAGAATATCCTTCGAGAAATGTAGCCATCTACACATATGCAAAAAATATTCATGTCATAACCTAGTTATAAGTATTAACAATAAAACTATACCAAATGTAAATAATATAAAAATTCTTGGTCTTGTATTTAACTAAAACTATACCTGGACAGAACATATCAAACACTTATGTATATCACTCCATAAAAGATTAAATTTAATTAAATGTATGTGCAATTCCAAATTAAAAAGCAATACAAACACACTTGTTCAAGTAGTAAAAGCAACAATATTGTCTAGAATTGATTACTGCTTACCTATTTACGGGTCAACTTCAAAAAATAATCTAGCAAAAATATTAGCAATCTACCATTGTGCAGTTCGACTAGCCTTTGGAGCTTTCCGGACAACCCCAATTGCCAATATATTAGCTGAAGCCGGACTTACTTCACTTGTAGACCGTATTGCATACATCACAGGAAGTATAATACCAAAGCTTGTCTCCCCAGACGGATCTCCATTGAGAAGGCTAATAAGAAACAAGTTCAAAAGAAAGCGTCAAGCGTTATCGGTTGCAGCGTCGTAGACAAAATTTCGGTCATCGCGTTGGCACAACTTCCCCGGCACGCCTCTGTGTTCACCGGTGAAGCAACCGCAATCTTGAATGCTTGCCAAATAGCTAAAGTTAACAGACAGAAATACATGATCTGTACCGACTCATTGGCCTCACTGCATGCTGTCTTGAACATCAACCATACTGACAAAACTATAGCTCTAATAAGGGACATACTTATAGAATACACCGAAAGAATCCAGCTACTCTGGGCACCCAGCCATATTGGAATTAGTTCAGCCAAGTTTGCTACAAGATCATCTCTAAAGATGATTGATACCTTATGTAAAAAAGACGTCAAAAGAGCAGTCCACGATCATTATCTAACTTTGGTTAACTCTTTCTGGGCAAGTTATCCCCATAACTACAAAACAATTAATCCCAGTCGATCGCCCCCAATTTTACCAGCTGAAGTATCAAGAAAGCAAATGGTTATTTATACTCATTTCCGGATTGGACATACGCGGTTTACACATCAACACCTTTTTGTGAAAACGCAGGCACCCCACTGCCCATACTGCAATAATGGCATTCTTACCGTAAATCATATCATAGAGAGTTGTCCGCAGCTAGAAAACCTACGTCAAGAAATAAGCGAAAATGGCCTAAAAGAAACATTAAAAATTGTAAATAGTTCAAACATAAAAACATTTGTAAAATTCATATGTAAATTGAATCTATACTTTGAAGTGTGATATCGTTATACATACCTAGTACCCAAGTTTTTTTTTCACTTTTATACATACACATGAAGCTGATGGCCTCGTTGCTGGAGCTTAATCTTATTTTGTTTAGGCTAATTTTATTATCCTAATGCATTGAATAAATAATAATGAGTAGTTCCGCTCAGCTCAACAGTTGGCAACTTTCCGCCATTTTTTTCAGCGGAAAATTTGTACGTTACCTGAACTCAACATGTTGGGGTTAGCTTAAAAGCTCAGTTAGTCTAGACTTAATTTCCGTAACGTAACTTAACTAAATATTTCGGCCTACCTGTTATATGAGAAACTGTGTTGGCGGTTAGTTAAAACTTAACTTAGCGTAAGAAACTTAAGAACCTGTAGATTTTAGGTTCTTAAGTTACGGTCTTACGGAAATTGAGAGCGGTGAGAGAATCAGACTTGCCAGACTCTCGTTTTTGTATTTCTTAAAAATAAATGAAAGCAAACATTGTTGTTTGCATGAATTTTTTTGATGTGGCATTTAAGGCGGCGAACTGTTAAACAGCTGAAAAAGAAAATACAAAAACAAAATATTTCCGCTCTTGGCTTAAGTTGACGTGTTGAGTAATCATTGATGATTTCTTACGGTAAGTTAAGTCTAGACTAACTGAGCTTTAAACAGCTGACCGAAAAGACGTATGCCACTAATATTAAATTTAACGCCGCCTTGTTAGGTGGCAGTTGCAAATAAATTTATTCTATTTTATATTACTAAAATATTTTATAATAATACTACGTTTCTAAATATATGTTTTTAAGATGTTTGCTTTATAATTATACATTGTTTAATTCATTATAACACTGAACGATTTTTTCAACATGGCGGCAGCTCTGCGTTGAATTGTGAATACTATCTGCGCAACTACCTCTATTTATTGCAATTTCATTTGTTTACATTTATCAGCTGTTAATTTGGGAGCATATTCATCAAGCCGTTTCTAAGACGTAATTGTTGGGTTCAACAGTTGCCAACAGTTTGGTAGCAGATGAGGTAAACAGCTACGTCTTATGAACGTGTCCAATGTGTAAAGTCGTATACAAAATCGAACCCTTAAAAGTTTTGCAAACTCAAAGAGAAATGGAATGCGTACAAAGTATCATTGAAAAAAAACCTTCTGCACAGCCACTGTTTTGAATAAAAAGAACAAAGCTTACTGTGCAACTTACGTAAATAAGATAAGATCTTATCACCAAAAAATATGTAACGTTGAGTAATCATTTAACATTGATACATTCATCAGTACATTTGTAAGTATTCATATGTATCAAGAATTATAGAGTAGAGAGAGATTGGCGCAGTCGAGCTGAGAGCAACTGGCCGTGACGTCAACAAATACCAGAATGAGAGAGCAAGACGAATTCGACAAGAGGAAGCATCGAACAAAAGGCAGTGTTGCCAGGTTTTGAATTTGAAAAAGCTCCAAATTTTTATTGGTGTATTTTATGGACTTTATATGCATACATAATTTTATTGTAAGGATGCCGACTCAAATTAACAAAAATCAATGTTTCTTCCACGACGCACATAGGTAGATTTTCAAGTTTTATGCGGCAAAAAATATTTTATTGCAAAATTGTTTATCAAATGTAAAATTGAAATAATTTGTATTACAGATAAGTTATATTAATAAAATATATATATTAGCCAATAATTTACTATTTAAAATATATTGACTACCTTTATTTATAAAATGTGTGTACACTATCATTGGTTTATTAGTTTTCGCTTTCTGAATCTTCGCTGGCCTCAAACTATTCCTTTGTCACATCTTTGACAACGGATTTAGAGGGTAACAGCAGATTTATTGTGTCTGGGGAAAACGATTTGATATTTTATCTTTTTTTGGTCATGAACCGAAATACTGCTTAAAAACGAGTCCGAGCTCAACAACAACCGGTTATATATGTCACGGTTACATACTTCACGAGAAAACTTCCGGGAATAATTTTCTCGGTAGTATTTGTTGTGGGCCTTTTGAGCCTCCCCGATAATTGTCCTATTGGTAATAAAGAATTAGTACCTTGTGCATTGTGGGTGTCATAGGATGCCACGCGTAAAGCTCATCATATAATTTGGCGGTGTCCAATGCATATTCGTCGTATTTTGTGGAATCAATTTCGTAGCCACTAGATATGGTTTCCAATATTATTTTTAACCTGTAAATTAAATCAAATAAAACACCTCTTTGAGGTAAAATTTTCGAGTGACGAAAGCTGAGCTAGAAACACAAAATTTATGATATCAATTTCGTGACGAGAATTATACGCATTTTTTAACTGCCTTGGAAACGTACGGAAAATCTTTTTTTATTTTTTAAGCTGTGGGAGCAGGGGTTGTAGGTGTTCTGACCGCCCAAAGTTGCGGGTTTTCCGGCGGGATTACCAAACCTAGCATATTTTAAGACTTCTGTCAAAATATTGCAGAAAAATATTAACATTTTCGTAAGCTGGACCGGTTCGAAAATACCTCTAAAAATTTAGTTTTTTATGAATAAAAAAAGTTTCTTACAGGATTTTCTGAAAAAAATCCCCCCAAATGACTAAACAGTTTAAGCTTAAAAAGTTTGCATAAAAATATTTAAAAAAAAATTCTACGGAATCATATCTAATAATGAGATTTTTGATGCTGTTTTTTAACTTTTTTCAAAGACTAGAATAACTAGAAGACTAGAATAAATTTTCGCACTCTTTTTATTTCTTTGCAAAAAAAAACTCATTCACATCCCAATTATTTTTTTTTTTATCAAATACCAACAAATCAATTAACATGTAATGTCACACGTTTTCTTACCTTCCTTTCTTTCATACTTTGAATGAGCTTATTCGCAAAGAAATTAAAAGGGAGATAAAATACCTTACCAACGATACCTCATAAGCAGACGTGGGCACTACCACAAACAGAGTGAGCTACGCTTCCGCTCTTTTAGCACCTGCTAACTCTCTGCCCATGCCTGCTCATAAGTCTAATTGGTAACACAGGGTGCTTCTAATGAAAATAAAAATTTTATGCTGAAATACACATGCTAAGACCTTCGAAATTTTGTGCTGGGATATGCGTTACAGCTTCGCAAATTTTACCCCTACCGAAACAAAAGATGTATACACATCAAAAAAATATATATAAAAAACTTTTTATTAATAAAAAACTCAATTTGTGGAGGTATTTTCAAATCGGTCCAGCTCACGTAAATCTTAAGATGTTTGCGAGGTATTTTGGTGGAAGTCTTAAAATGTAATAGATTTTATAATTCCAGTGGAAAACAGTACCAATTTTTTTTTGGACGAGGAGTGATGCAGTCTACTGTACATAAGTTGACTATGATTACTGGGCCGTGCTATCATAGTAGCACAATGCCACCAAGTGCATTTTAAAATTTCCAGGCAATAGCCACATGCGATTATCGATTCTATTTTTTGTTGTTTGTGTGAAATATTTTATTTTTATCAGTATTTTTCTTTTAATCAAAATATGTTGAATTAAAAGTGAAAATAAAAAAATATTTTGCCAGGTCGGTAGCAATTAGTCCATTTTAATTTGTGATTTCACTCATTAAAGGTAGCTGGTGAATTTACTAAGGTGACGTATTCTAGGAACTCATGAAATGTGATGAACAGCATTACAGGTAATCTGGTAGGTCCGGTGAATTCACTAGCTCCTCACTGGTGCGTCGTGTTCAACATTCGCTGAGTTACCTAGGTAACAGTCGTATTATAAATTTTTTTTTTTTGCTTTTTTTCAACTGTTGATTCATGAATTGAACTTTATAGCGACAATGTTTTCAATTTATTTGTGCTTGGCGTTACGTGTCAGTTTCGGTGGTGAAAAAAATAAAAAAATAAATTGAAATAAATATTGGTAATAATAATAATTAATTGTTAATTGTTTCAAGAGGTGAGGACACGCACTTATGAGCATCAGTTTTTTAATTATTTTGTTTTTTGTTAATCTTGTATAAAAAATATGGTTGATTATACGATCCAAACTCCAAAAATGCGATTGTTTTTTTTTATATGGAGAAAATGAGCGACACCATCAACAAAAAAATTTTTCAAAAACCGCTGGTAAGTCCTAGCTACCTTAGACTTGCACTTTATTATACCATAATTGAATGGGATAAAAACTGCATACTCAACTTTTTTCAAAAGAGTGTAATTAATTGCAGAGAGAGAAAATTTGCAGAATTTCCTTTAATTTAGCGCAAAGTTTGGAGCACTAATTTTTGGGGTTTATGTTGTAGAGTTAACCACATTTTTGTAAAAAAAATGCGAAAAATAAAATAATTAAAAAACAGTTGCCCGTATTGCAAAAAAATTGCTGTACCTAAACTTTATTGATTGACTGTACATATGTATATATAGTATGCATTAATATTATTTAAGTTTAATTAAAAGTACTTATTAATATGTATAAATCTTGTCTAAGATCAACTCCTAATTGCTATTGTAGCAATAAATCGTTGTAGGTCGTTGTGAACCAGCTGCACTATCAGCAGGTAGAGGAAATACCGCCCACAATCAACTTTCCGGGTTTAAGTGCTAAGCAACTGGAGGAGCTGAATGCGAAGATAGACAAGGAAAACCGCGCACTCTATGTAATACGATAAAATATATTAATCGGAACTTAATAACTTAATTTCGTTAATTAATTACTCTTTAACTGTCATGGTAAGTCTATGAAGTCTCTTCTGCAACCAGCAGGGGTTATTAGAAATTTAAAATTTATATTGTCCGACACGTTGATGCAGGAATATAACGTAGATGGAATTCACGGTAAAAAATCTCTAAAAGGTCTAGACAACTTTTACGATGCGCTGATAGGTAAATCAATGAAATTTCTTATTGAATTAAAGCTTAAACAGATGGCAGCGTTTACCGGATTATCTCGGAACCACTGCAGTTGATCCAGATTAAGTCCGAGTTAATCCGGATCAACGCTACCGTCTGTTTAAGCATTTAGGTACACATCCAATCCAAAAGCGTTTTTAAATTAATTTTTCTCATTTTCAGAATCAATCCCAATTGGCGACAACTTAGGCCCGGCTGAGTTACGGAAGGCAATACAGTTGCAAAAAAAATAGATTCATAAAGGCAAAATGTATAGGCCAAAATAACCACCAAAAATATATTTAATTTATGTTATACAGACCAACAAGGAGCAACAGAAATGTGAGCAGTCATTTTCGACATACATATGTACATATGTACATATGAACATACATACATTTATTCCGACGTTGAATCTGAATTCGGCTGAATAATAGCGTCAGAATTTCGAGATACGTCGAAAATGGCTCATCTTATTTCTGTTGTTGTTTTTTTCTCTTTAACTGTTCGTCAAATAAATGAGTGGTAGCTAGTGAAGCAGTTCATGAGTGGAACTTAATAGTAGGTATACCATGACTATAATGAGATAGGTGGTGAATTGTAGTTAGTGAGTTAACTTGTGAATGGAAGCTAATGGTAACTAGTGAGATAGCTTATGAATGGTAATCCAGTAGGTGTAAATTGATTACTGCCTATGACATCCCCATGTTAAATTCATGGATTAATTGCATTGCTGGTAATCTGGCGGGTAGCTAGTGGTGGTTACCGGTAGCGAGTGAGTTCACTAGTGCCTCACTAGTGCTCAGTACTAGAGGGTTACTAGAAAAGTGTCATAATCCAAAAAAAAAAAACAAAAAATCGAGTTACGTATGCAAAAATGCATGTTACCCATTTCTTATGGCATTTGTTTTTGTTATTCTATGGCTTTATAACAATTATTCACAATAATTATTATTGAGCTTGAGGCCGTTTTTAATGAAAAACTTAAAGGATAACAATAATTTGAAAAAAATGGTAGAAGTGCTATCACCACATTTCCTCATCAGAATTCTTTCAGTAGGATTCGAACAGACGATCCCACTGACTCAGTTAGTTGCCTACGCACTGTGCTAAGTTCGCCTTGTTAATTCTTGTTGCTTTTTTCCACTATTTCATTTGTTAAGCCAACTGCAATCCAGCGCAGCTGTTCCAGTGCTATTTAAACTTGATCATGTGGTTGTTGGTTTTTGTTAATATTTCTATTATTAGAATGTTTAACTGTTAGGTGTGCTCGTCCTTAAAATATTTCTTTTTGTTATTTTATGGCCTTATAATAATTATATTCAACAATTTTTATTGAGCTTGAGGCAGGGCCGGATCGTAAGCTCGATTTTGGGAGGGGAAATAAGAATCAAGAATTTTGTACGCCCAAGTATCTATGATAGACATTTTATTTTATTATATTATACATCTATTGTATATAAATGAATTATATTTTTGCAAATCATATGTTTTGAGTCATATGTTTTTGAGAAAAATACAGCGTAGTAAGTTTAAAATTTCAAAATTACATTTCCCGAATGAAAAATAAAATATTCGAGCTAACTCGACGGCACATAATGTGCTTTTTTAACACTTCATGCCAATTAATCGTTGCGCTTTCGACAGAATAAATATTTTGATATGAAGGAAAATGACTTTCAAAGCTAATTTAATTGGTATTCAAGGAAAAATATTGCCATTGAGTCACCAGCACTCCCTGATCTTAAAAAAATTTGATCAAAAATAGTCTTCTTTGAAAAAAACATGCAAAATCCAACGGATATATTTAAAAAAAAAAAACATTTTTTGGATTTTTTATTATACTAATAGTAAAGATTTTGGGACGAGAAACACGATTCCACTGTTTAAAAAACGAAAAATAAAATCAACCCCTCATTTTGAAAAATGCATTATATATTGCATTTTTTATTATTTGCATGCAGCTGTGCATCCTTCACACAATTTTTATCCGTCGAAAAACAAGCCACGGTAGAGGTAGTCTCTAGGCCTTTTGAGAGCTAAATTATTACGTTTCTAAAGTTAAACTTCGAAATTTCATTCGACATTTTACGCATTTTTTTTCTAATTTCGGAGTAAAAACTAGTACAGCAGTTTCGAAGTTTGGTTTAAAATTGTTATAACTTGGCTCTCAGAGGGCCTAGAGGCTTCTACCTTGGCTCAAATTAAAGGTCTTAAATTATTGTTCAAGGGATATATAATTGAGTAAGGATGCACAGCTGCATGCAAATAGAAAAATATGCAATAAATAATGCATTTTTTGAATTAAGGTGCTCAAATTTTTCTTCGAATTTTGAACAGTGGAATCGTATTGCTCGTCTCAAAATCTATAATACTAGTATAATAAAAAATACATAAACTTTTTTTTTGAATAAATCCCGTGTATTTTGCATATATTTTTTTTTGAAGAACTCTACTTTTCACCAATTTTGTTTATGTCAAGCGGTAATTGTGGCTCTGTGGCCACAATTGAAAGGGATTTACTTTTGCTTTCAAAACCATTTTGTTTCGTATCAAAATGATGCTCCTGTCGAAAGCGCTACGATTAATTCGCGTGCAGTTTCAAAAAGCACACTGTGCGGCTTGTGAAAGGACAAGAGATGTATTTTAAAAGGCTGTGCAAATTTTTCAGATATGAGTTCAGCGACAGAATCTAACAGAAATGGCCAATTTCATATCAGAAAAAAATTTCAATTAGCACGAAATTGTTCCGGAAGTAGAACCACAATACCAAGAGTGTAATTGAAATTCTTTACCAAACTCGGATTTCTCGACTGACGCGGATTTGGGAGGGGAAATTTCCCCTATTTCAAAAAACGCGTTGTAAGATGTAAAAACTTTTATTTGATTACCGTTTAAAAATGTTCGTATTTAAATCATTTCCATTATACTTACACTACATATAATGGAAATATTCAATTCAAATTCGCCCGTATTAAAATGAAGCATTCTTCACTGCACAGATAGCGTTTTGCAAGTCTCGGATGCTTTTTCATATGTAATTAAGAAGGTTTATCGTCGTCTCAGAAAACGGATGTCGAATGTTACAAAACACGGTTTTGAGAAAATTGACTTTGAAGTTTAAGCTCGAATTAGTCCGAAACTGTACGGTAGATTTTTGTAATTTTTAAAGCAGGCGTAGTTGGCGTTATTATTTTTGATTTTCCATATTTTCACATTTAATATCTCTTAACGTTAATGAGAAAATTGACTTTTCATTCCGTATACATTTGTCGTAAGTAGCGTTTACTCACCACTTTGTTTTGTCCATAGAACATACGACAATACTAAAGTATCTATTTCAACGACGATGGTATAATTTGATGAAAAAATCAGACATATTTATCAAATAATGATTACTTATTAGAAAAAACATATTCATGTATTTAATAAAAAAAAATCTGTACATCTCTTATGCTGTAAATATATTAAGAACATACGTTTTCTTTATATAAAAACAAAAAACAATATTTAAATTCAGTCTTTTGTACATTTTTATTTCTTTCATTTCATTGTAGACTCAGTGCCATCTGAAATTTAAAATTTTAAAATTAGTTACTTAGTTTAATTTCCAATTTTAATTGTGTCGTTATAGTAGAGGACCATCGAATTGTCGTGAGTTCAAAGTTTTGCGATACATACGACAAATGTTTTATGATTAAAACAAGATTATATTTGTATGGGAATTTGTCGTATTTGCCACCCACTAGAACTTGAATGGAGATCTCCCTAAGTGAGGAATAAAAGAGTACTCCCCTTGACCTGATTTCGGATCAATAAGAGAGATTTGTGGACTTTTTACTCCCTTATTACTCGTTTAGGAGTCAATAGGGACATCTCCTAAGCTAGCAATTAAAGAATGCTCCCTGAGGCATGATTTGGGAGCAATAAGCGAGATTAGTCGGTTTTGCACTCCTGTATTACTCACTTAGGAGTATAATGGGAGATCTCCCAAGTGAGCAATAAAAGTATCCTCCGGGATACATGTATAAGCGAGATTTGTTGGTTTTGTACTCCGTTATTACTCGCTTAGGAGCAAAAATCGATGTCTCCTAAGCGAGCAATCCAGGAGTATTCTTTTTGATTGATAGGAGAGCTATACGCACCTTCTTCAACATAATTTTGTGTTAACTGATGTGTAACTGATGTGTACATTCATACTTACATACATATGTATTTCTTATTGAAAAATTTAAATCAGGAAACAATCAAATTAATTGGAGAGCAAATCTTTAGAGCCGCTGGTATGTATGATAGCATTTGTTTAAACTTATAAATGGTTGTATTATTTAACTCAAAATATATTTCAGATTACGGGGCCAGCAATTAAGGCGTCTAAGTTCTAGCGTTGCAATCTTGCCCCGCCCAGAAAATTTACTGGGTACAGCCGGAAATTTTTCAAGGCTTGAATCGTTTGGTCCACTCCCGGGTGAATACAAGTGAAATAACTTTTCCAGGAAATCATCCTCGTCACACTTATCTTGTGGATTATATAAAAGTTTTCTAATTTTAGTTAATAATGTAATAATACTTATTTAGGTTTTTTGCTATTTTTGTAATAATCAGCTTAAATCCCAAGGGAGTACTCACTGAGCAATCGTACGATGCTCCCAAGTTCTACTGGGCACATACGACAAATGTTTTATGATTTAAAAAAAAGTACGTTTGTATGGGAATTTGTCGTATCCCAGTAGAACTTGGGAGCATCGTACGATTGCTCGGTGAGTACTCCCTTGGGAGTATACGAATACTCCCCATTGCTCCCTATGCTTCTGTGTATAAGCATGTAATTTTGTATACTCCCTGTAACATTGGATGTCCTAGGAGGGGGAGTAATCCCTTTTACCTCCTAAACGAGCAATCGCGGAGCACACACAGAATTATCATCCCACAAACCTCCTAATAAAGCAATACGGGAGTACTCCCATAGTTACCTCCCAGAAACCTCCCAAAAAGACAACAAGGGAGTGCACATAGAAAACATCCCATATTCCTCCCGAACGAGCAATAAAGGAGTGCTCCCATTAGAGACATCCCGAAAACCTCCTGTAGGAGTAATAAGAGAGCAATGATAACGACCATTTTACATTAGCCAAATAGATTTTGCTATTTATTACATTTTTTTATTTAACTTTTTAATCACGTGCATTTGTGCAATATTACAAGATCTTAAAAATAAAACATAAATGATACGTCTTACATAATTGCTTAATTTTAGAATTATATCGCAGAGAAATCATATGAAATTAAAACATAATAATAACAAAACGGTAAG